AAATAAACCTTATCCAATTAAAGAAAAAAAAAAAAACACTGGAAAAGCCAATTTAAGTCAGGTATAAAACAAGTAAAACAAAACACAAAATGTTCAGCTACAAGGGAGACTCTAAGAAGGATTGAGAGGCCAGGCGGGTCGTTAGATAAGGTTACCTAGGATGGTTTACTGCAGGATGGAGAGATTGCAGAGAAGCTATTAAGGCTTCATGACAGGTGTGGGATAGAGATTCATTCACTCCTCCTAAACCATTTTTTGAGGCAGAGTTTTTGAAGAACTAAGTCAAAAAGAAGTGATTACAGATGATGGACAGAACTACAGCCAACTGTTGAAAACCAGGTATGTGCAGACAAATTACATTTTTCAAATCATTTTAACAGCAATAATAATATATTCACAAAGATTGGACAAGTTCCAAATTCAAGGAACCAACCATCTAAGTCAGGTGTAGAATGTTAGCACCCACCCCTCTCCTAGAAGAGTGAAACATTCTAGGAAATATTAAAAAGACAGAATATTATACCTTTATGGATGAGAAAAGGAGAAACATGTTCTTGGAAAGCGGCCCCCACCTTTGTTAATAGCCCCAGAAAGACAAAAGACATCTTATCTACAATACAAAAGACCTTCAGCTCCAGGGTAATGTGATTAAGACATGGTTCTCAGGACATTATAGGATTAGCCCTCTATCCATCTCACCACATGGCACCTGGGAAGATTACATCAAGATTCAACCAAGCTTGGGACTCAAGACAACCTACAAAGTTACCTCTGCATGGCCCCATGGCAGTCTGACAAACAATCAGGATACATTTCTTGCCACAGGAACAGGAAGCAAGTTCAAAACCCAACAGAGGGTATAAATCTCTCTCCCTCTCTCTACCATGTGCTCTTTTTTTGCCCTGAACTTCAATGTGGTCCTGTCCACTATTAAAACCATCCTTCGAAGCAGCCTTCATGTTTCCAGTGTCTTTCTTCACACTTGGAACTGAACCCAGATGGATATTTCTTCCAACACAGGGATGTCAAACTCAGGGGCCAGATCCAGCCCGCGAGGTACTTAGATCTGGCCTGCAGGTCACCCTGGAAACAACAAAGGACCGGCCCACAATGCCTCTTCCAGTGAAAACAGAGCTTGTGAGGGCTGCATGCAGCCCTCCCAAGTTCCGTTTTCGCTGGCAGATAGTTGCAGGAGGCCGTTGCAACCAAAAACAGAGCTCGGGAGCCCATTTTCGCTGGCAGAGAGCTTGGGCCACCACGATGAGTGATGTCATGCTGGCCATGCCCACCCTGGCCCCTCAAGGTCAAACACAACTCTGATGCGGCCCTCAATGAAATCGAGTTTGACACCCCTGATCTAAGTAGTAACACAAAGGAACAAATGAAGAGGTGGGGAATAGAAACAGAAGTTACTCTGTATATAATAATGTGATAATGTATAACAGAACAACAGAGTTGGAACGGACTTTGGAAGTCTCATAGTCCAACCCCTCACTTGAGCAGGAAACTCTACACCATTTCAGACAAATGGCTGTCCAATGTCTTCTTTAAAAATCTCCAGTGTTGGAGCACCCAGAACAAGCCATTCCACTAATTAATTGTTCTAATGGTCAGGAAATTTCTCCTTAGTTCTAGATTGGCGATGTGTTGTCATGTCAATTTCAAATCAAAAATATGCTTTATTTCAATTATGCACATTTAGGTTTAGCAAAAAAATATAGCATTGGAGGTCCCCAAATGTTTCTTACACACTGAAGCATTCAGCAATGCCATTCAGTTGTGCATTTTCCCACCCATGCCATTGTATGCAACAATATAATATGGAGGAAGAAAATCCATTTCAGCAGGGGCTTCCATGTTCAATGGCAGTTCTGTGTCAAATAAGATCCCCCAAATACTTTCTACAAATAGCACAGGAGTACGGAATATGACAATATTGAGAAAATCTGTACCTGGTGGTATGTATTTCAAACAGCTATTGCAGGCACAGGAGCTGTTTGGCAACAGGTCTTGGCAACCCAAATGCCCAATGCAATGCATGAGTCAGCAGTGCAAGCCTGTTGGCCGCCAGCACTCCCTCCCCCAAGAAACGCTATTGATTCTCCTCCAGCTATAGCACTTAGTACATCTTTCAGAAGATAATTTCTGGAATTCCAGCTCCCCACACGCTTGTTTTGTGTAAACTGCAGCAAGTTTCACTTACTCTGTAGTCTACCAGCTGTTTCTGGTCTGAGCAATCAGATGGGGAGATATTCAGCTTCAGTGCTTCTAACTGGCACTTCCTTTCTCTCCTTTTCTTCTTCCTTAGTTCAATCCTGATTGTAATGGCTAATTCCAGTTTAGGCTTATTTTAAAACAGTGTTTGCCAACCTGGCATTCTCCAAAAAGGACTGAATTACAAATCCCATTTTCCCCAGTCCTTGGTTTCTGACCCTGCTAGCTAGAGGTGATAGAACTTGTAGTCCAATGCACCTAGAACATGGATGTCAAACTAGCCGCGTCAATGATGTTTCGTGATGGTTTTTCCCTCTGCAGAGCTGGGGTGGGCATGGCTTACATGTTATGCATCCAGCCTGCGGGCTGCCAGTTTGACACCCTTGGCCTAGAACAAATGATGCTATTCTGGATATAGCCCCACCCAATGTTTACTTGAAAAGGAAAGGAGCCCAACGTTTCTTCTTCGTCACACTTATGGTATACCATAATGTAAAAAGCAACATGACATAACATAACACAGTGTAATGTAACATCACACATCATATCACACCACACCACACTACACAACATGCCACAACTATAAATGAAATTGTGTGAAGATGCTGTTATCAGTATACACTGAGCTATAAAGAGTAGTGAAAGTATTGGACTAGGAATCCAAAGATCCAGAACTTCATTCAGATGTTAAGCTTGCTAGGTGATTATGGGATATTCACTGTCATTCCGTTTAATATTTCAGAGAAGGAGGTAGAAACTACTTATATAAGCTTCATCTCCTTGGCAGGATATGAATAGTGATAATAATCTTAGTTTGTATTAAAACCATAATAGTGCCACTACCCCAATTCCCCAGATTTCTAAGGATTTGGTTTTCTGCAGCTTTACCATATTATACTTTACATTCAGCTCTAAATTTCAATAGTGCTTCTAGCTACTTAAATAGGATACAATGGCAAGTTGCCTTCAAACCAAGCACAACACTAGGCGATTTCATGGACACATCATCCATGTAATTTTCTTGGCAGCGACAGAGAAGACCATCCCTTGCCGCCTTCTGGAGTGCTCTTCATATTCCCAGGCTATCGCATGGCCCTTGTATTTCTTGGGAGTACCCCATCCACGTATTAACCAAGCTTGACCCTGCTTCAGTTCTAATTCTACAAAAGGTTGACCAGATGCTTACACTTGTTGAGGAAAAAACCAAGATACACCTCCTAAGAAATTTCCCAGACAGAATCAGCATGTTTTTTAAAATTTGTGAATTTGAGGAAGATAGACAACTTTCGTTTTAGGAATGCCTCCCCTCCATCTGTAAAATCAGACAGGGTGGCTGAATCTAAAAGTGCATGGATATAAAAACATATCCACAAACTCGGTTGTTAGGGAACCACTGTGTGGGGGTGGATGGTTGCTGTAGTCCTCCTTCAGTGGGCTTCCCATAGATAATTGATTCACTTCTATGGAACAGTCTAATTGTGACTTTTTCTTCTTGGACTATCCATTCATTCCCCTCCCTTCTCTCCATCTATGGCTTCCTTCCTCCCTCTCTCTTTCAGTTGCTTCTTCTCTCCCTCCCTCCTGTTTCTACGCTCTGTTTGCTCCTGTCTGGATCATGCCCAGTATTTTCTAGTTGAACCACAGACAACTACAATGATCTAATACATATCGATTTTACAGAAGACAATGTTGAAAAAGCACTACGCAATCTAAAACCATCTCTATCTATTGGACCGGACGGAATATGTGCCTACTTCTTAAAAAGCTATCTACTGGCATAGCCGAGAGGGCATCTAAAATACAGATGGTCCTTGCTTAATGACCACTCATTCAATTCAGCAACCGTTCAGACTTGCCAAGATGCTGAACAAATGGTACTTATGGGTAGTCTTTGGAGTTCCAGCTGTTGCCATATTTCTGTGGCCATGGAATTATGGTCCAGGTGCTTGACCCCGACTCACAATTACGATGTTGCAGTGTCTCATGGTTATGTAGCTGTCATTCGTGACCTTCTTTGCCAGCGTCCAACAAGCAAAATCAATGGGGAAGCTGGAAGGAGGCTACAAATGGTGATCATATGACATCCTCACTTAATGACCCTGAGTGATTCACTTACTGATGGCAACTAGGACTTCTGGAATTTCCAATGCTAAATGGCTCAGTCATGTGGCATCTCATTTTACAATCATGTTGCTTAGTGACAGCAATTCTAATCCCCTTTGCCCCTGTTAACTGAAGACTACTTATAGAAGAAAAAAACTCCTTCAAGCACAAAAACCTTCTCCTTGGTATCTATTTGGGCGTGTCCAAGTTGTTTTCTTGGCAATGGGATTCCCTATTTCCTACTTTGCTTAGCTTTTTGAAGATCAAAGTCACCTGGGCAGCATTCAGTCCGAAGGTGGGATTAGAACTCACTGTCTCCTGGCTTCTAGCCTTAGGTGTGATTTAGACTTCTGTGCCAATGTACGTCAGGGAATGTATTCTTCTGGTATTTGTCCATGGCTAGTATTACTACATGTAGGACCTTACACCTGTTGTGGGCCTGGATAACCACTTACTCTTTGCTGTCATCTAGTAGTCGCCCCAAATTTTGTAGCGCATATCTGGGACAATCCAGACAATCTGTAGCACAAATCTGGGACAATTAAGTCCGTCTCTAAACAAATTTGTTTCTTCACTGTATAAAGCACACATAACGTATTTCCGTCTACCTGCGATACACAATTTTCTGCCCTTCTTTGGCTATTTGCTGGGTGGGATGAAAGAAGTCAGGGCAGGTTACTTACCGTGACTGTTTTTATCCGTCCCAGTTGCCTAGTACAACTCCAGCCAGAATGATTGATTAATAAAGTGCATTGCTCTCCTTCATCACAGGGCTCCATCCCACACCACTGTTTATTAACAATGATCTGGGCTGCCGGACACCAGCAGGGAAGTCAAAGAAGAAGGAAACATTGAAGGTGAGAAAGGGAAAGAAAAGAGAGGAAAGAAAATTAGGCACACATTTAACAGAATTGTCGATAAAACATGAGACTTAAAGCCTTGACATTTATTTTACAGTGCAAACCTCCAGTTGAGCCAAACTGAGATGTCTAGGAATTGTAGTCTGAAAACATTTGGATGACCTCAAATTTGGGGAAGCTCTCATCCTTCCAAATGAGACTCTCTGGTCCCTACCCACCCCCCCAACCACTCCATTTCCGGGAAGGGATTTCCTAGGATGGAGCTAGAATGAACAGAGAGTTAACACTGCAGGGCTCTAAGCACCACTCTCCAGAACAGAATGGATTCATGCTAGATCCCTTGGGATTCTGCTGTGGATATTTTTTTTTTGTTTACCATTGAGAAAAATATTTCAAAAGAGACGCCAATTGTACTGAGAAAAAAACCAGAAGCTGTGAAATGGGGAAAATAGCAGTGTGGAGGAGCACCGTAAAGGGTTAAATGCAGAGCTGCAGAACAGGGATTACGTCTATGGTTCTTTCTGCTGCAACTCCTTCAAATATGAGATAACTACCACCTGTGGGCTCAGAATAGCCTTACGTTCACCATACATATTCACCCACTCAGAGGCCCTGTATATTTCCTCCTCCCCCCCCCCCCCCACATAGCAACATTAGGGAGCATGTTACTGTTGCACAACCACAGCACGTAGCAACACAAGATAACAGATGACTGTATCCCAAAACCTCAGGAAAGCATCCTGCAAGGCCTGGAAAAGAGCTTTTTGCCACCACATATTCAAGTCAGTAATACTGGCTACCCACCAGCAGTGAGCAACTTTTGATCTCTCCAGGGCTACATCCTCCAGGAGTAAAAAAAATGTGGGGAAGAGGGTCTGTGTGCCAATAGCTGATGAAGCCAAAGCAAGCAGACTTAAGTGAGATTGGCTCATTCTTTCACTGCTTCTTTTATCACTGACGAGTGAAAGAGGGCAGAGTAGATGTTTTTGGTCCAAAGTCGGGGTTGCCAAAGGCTTTGGAAATTAAGCTGCAAGAGACTTGATAGTAAGTCAAGAGCCACATGTGGCTTTAGCAGCTCAGGTTGTTGGCTTTTGAGTTAGGCAGTGGCTGGGTTTTCTGCAATTACATGTATTTCTTTAATGCTCCACAACACATTGATTCAGAAGAAGCAGAGTTCTGCTTGTTTAGGAAGGAAGGAGGGAGAAAGTGCTCTGCAGCTCTCTGAAAAAAATGTTTCCTGGGAATTCTCCAGATTAGTCAGAGGGAAAATGGAGGAGACCTCAGGGGAAAGGGGACCAAACCAAGACAGCCTTTCTATCAGATATGGGAGCCCTTCCACTCATGGAAAAGCTACTGGAAATCACAATCCAGCTGCTCCGTTCAACTATTATGGTCATAGTCATAGCACAGAATCTATACTCTTTCACAAAGCCACATTCACACCCGCACAATCTTGTTTGGGCATCCAAAAATAGGGAGAACTGTGTGAGAACTACCAGTAAGAGCCACCCCCTTTGACCTCACTCAAGAGGAGGTTGTCCTGCTGAAGATTTCCACAGATAAAACAGAGAGATCTGCAGGGGGAACCCTTTATGGGTATGCTTGCAAATACACTGCTGTCCACACACAGAAACCCTAATTCTTGCTCACATGGGACACACAGAGATTTCCCCGTGCCCAACAACCCCAGATATCATGAGGCTGGAGGCTCCTATTCTGAACACCTTGGTAGTGTTTCAAAGGTCAGTAGTCCCCCTTCAGATGAACACCAACCCCTAAACAGGCATCAGTGAACTATCTACAATGATGGACTGATCAAAAAGAAGTTGTGATGTATCTCCTCAGTGGGAAAGAGAGGTCTTTCAACTAGAATGTAAAGTAGCTCTGCAACAAGCAAAAATCTCATGAATGAATATGCCAGTTGATCTTCTTGAATTGCAATGTAATTCCAGAAAAAAAATCTGTACATTTTTGCATGCATTAGTCTGGGGCTTTGTTGTTAAATCTCGTTAAACACTTCCTGATTTCTTTTTTTAACAGAATGATCTAATAACACAAACAGAAATCTGTCTCTGCCAACACCAATTTGTCTATTGTTGGACAAATAGTAACCGTTATAAATGACTAAGGGCAATCATTTAGTTCCAAACATGTCCAAACACTGACAAAGAAGCAGTTTTTATGGGTCCATTTTAGTAAGTGCCTTGATCAAATCCAAAGGCTGGGTACCAACTCTTCAAAAGGTCACAGAAGACAAATGCCTCATCTCTTGTGTTGATTAGTGATGACAAAACAACCCCAAACCCAGTTTTGTTTTGTTTTGTTTCCCCTTGAGTTACACTAACAAAACTCAACTTTTAATTTCTGGGAACGCCCCTAGCTTTAGCTCAAAATGAGGTCTCCAGAATGGAAAAGCCATCACTGATGCTATTAAGTTGCTCTCATAGACCTTCATGGGTCCCTGCAATGTGTCTCAGCCATTTGTATCAAATTGCTGGTCCTCGTGGGCCAGATTGATGGGTCTTTGGTGCAATTAAACAAGAGTGAAGGCAGCCTTACTTTCTTACCATCTACACAGGCAGGTTTTGCTTTCGTTGTTCCAGCAACTTGTCCTCTTCGACAGGCACACCGTGCTGTCTGTCGGGCAATCATCCTTTTGGGATGGCTCATATCTCTATCCAGGGCTGTGATCTCACATGTCCCTACCTCGAGCTCCTTTCCTGTTGAGATAGAAGACAGATTTAATCCCTTCACACACAAAGATGCAGGAAAATAATGCAGCCTATTTACTGGAAAAGGAAGTCAGGAGCTTGGACCCTGGATCCTAAGCTAAAGAGAGTCCCTGTGGTGGCAACAGCTCTAATTTATACAGGTGCCCCAGAAAAAGATGGCAGGCAACCAATTCAATTGAGTAAAAGTTTTCTAATCTTACAGATGGGAGTCCAACAAAATCAGTTTTGCAGACATGATGAGCAAGTACACTAATCGACTATACAAAACTGTATCAACATCTTCTATATAACTTCTGCTAAAGGATGACATTGTGTACGTTCATACAAATTCACAGAACCTCCCCTAGGTGTAGAATTCGGCTCCTTCTCATGTAACACATTGGTATCCAGGTATGCCTACAAATAATTCTTGCAATATCACCAACAGAATTGCTGTGCTGTATTTCTTTTATTGGCTGGGAGGATATGATTATTTCTAAGGTGCTGGGGGGTTTTGAATGCTCCCGCACTGAGAAAAGTGAGCCCATTCAAGCTTGGCTTGCTGGCTAACTAACCTAATAAACTCTCCAACCTAGCCAAACAAGAGGAAATTCCAAAGCCATTAATCTGCACTACCGTGTTATGATCCATGTTGCAAGCTTTATTTATATATATATTAAGATCATGTCTTTTGTCTTCCTTTACAAGGCCAAGGCAACATAGATACTTCCTCTTCCAATTTTATCCTCATTAAAAAAAAGTCTAGAATGATAGTTGCCATATTAGAATTTAAGTATTTCAATCTTAGTTTAATACCCTAGTTATAATATCATCTTTTGATATGAGAAAATACTGAAGCATTTTTCACCTCTTGTCTTAGAACCACAGAGTTTGAATTTTAAAGAAACATTAGTTTACCATCATTGCACAACTCACATTCTGGTTCAGCCTTCATAAATCCAAGTTATGGTTTGTTTAACCACAGCTTGCCAAATAACAAAAAAAAAAAAAAAGGTTGTATTCACACAACTAATTAAATCATATGTTTTGCAAACAGTTATACCAAAACCAAACAAACATTTTTGCAATTCAGTGTGATATGAGAAATGGACTACTAGATCCTCAGTTAGAGAACCACTTTCAGTCATATTGACACTGTTTTTTTCTTTCTTTCTTTTACCCCGCCAAAGGAAATCCATGATAGAACTGGGCAATGGCAAAGCTTCCTTTGTGTTAATATTCATATTTTCCATATTGGTTTCTTGCTTGTATAACAGGTTGGCCAGATATTGCTCCTTATATTATTGACTCCCTAGACCCGTCTTCTTGATTAAAGAAGAAGAAAAATCACATGGATTTGTTCAACAACTGTAGACATTATTGCTAATGGCCTGCTATTAACTGCTGTTTAGGCACAAACACTCCTTCCCACAAAGGTTACACAACTTGTTTAATAATCTATTGTGGACTATAACTTTTTTGATAATCTGTGTGAATTCGTGCCATATTTTGGCATGCTCTAAATATAAAATATTTGAAATACTCTTGTTAGGGATATACACCCTAGCAGAATGTGTAACGGTAGTCAGGCAGGCAGGCAGATATGTGAGATAAATGTTGTTGTAGTTTACACTCAGTAAAACAGATACACTGTGCCAGTTAAATAGTTTTTTATTCCAGTAAGATTGTTAGCATAGTCAAACAGTCCATATATCATACACTTAGTTCAGTCCGTCCGGGGATTATCCATTAGCAAAGTCCAGTGTTGAAAAAGAGGTCAGTAAACTTACAATTAATCAGTCCAGTAATATATCTCTTTTTGCAGTAGAGATATGAAGAAAATCAAACCTCTTTTCTTCGTTCAGCAATAGCAGGGAAAAAACGCAGTTATCACCATCAATCCATCATTGTCAGCAATCCAGTAAAAGCCAGCAAACAGTGAGCTCTCTTGCTCCCTCTTATGGTGATTTTACAACCGCACCCAAAATACATGGTCTGCATTTAAAGTGACACACACAATCATAGTCTATATATATTATTTTACCCAAGCTAAGTTAGGTAACCATGTTATCCCTAACAACTCTCATACTATATTTATACCCTGCCCTTTTAAATAGGTTCAACCCCCTTATCTGTTTCCTTGCTTCCCCTATTTAGGTGAGTAGCAACAGTTTCTCATTTCTTCAGTTCTTCTTCTTCAGTGGCATTTGAATAAAGAAAACATACGCAATCACTTCGATTTATACAGGCATATACGGCAGCCTCTTCATATTTTTTTGAATTGTAATATGCACATTCAATGTCTGGCTTGCTTCTTCTCCTAGAACGAGTTATTTGTTATCTGAATAAGTATATCAGAGAGGCCGAGACATTTCTATTAGAACTACATTTGCTGGATGTGATTTACCCTGCTACCTCTTCTTTTATTATTTTTGCTGCTTGTGATGACTTAGGTCCTGAAAGTCTCCAGCTGTGCTGTGCCACTGGTATCATAAAGGAATATATTCATCACGTCTTGGACTTTCCTATGCAACAAGGAACCCTGCCCCCTCCAGCATCAACCTGTTGAACTACCTGCCTGCATTATTCTTGCGAGGGAATTTCTGTAATCCAACCTTGCAAAGAGAACGAAGGGATGGATATGTGGTGAACCTCAATTGCATGTAATTGTGCAGTGAAGCCTGTGCTCAGTGGCTTTAGCCCATCAGGCCCTAGTGCTCTTCTTGCAAAAGCCTTCAAAAACCTGATTTTAAAGAGCTATATGTGAAGGGTGAATTGGATTTGGGTGCTATCTACTAATTTGCAGGGCATACAAAACCTTTGTTAGACCAATACTTGAATATAGCTCATCTGTCTGGAATCCGCACTGTATATCGGACATTAATACAATTGAGTGAGTCCAAAAGTATTTCACGAGAAGAGTACTACACTCCTCTGCTCGCAACAGAATGCCCTATATCACCAGGTTTGAAATTTTAGGCTTGGACAACCTTGAACTACACCACCTATAGTTAGACTTAAGCGTAGTACACAAACTTATCTGCTACAATGTCCTACCAGTCAATGGCTACTTCAGTCTACTTCTACCAGTCTACCTCAGCTTCAACTGCAACAATACAAGAGCACAAAACAGATTACAAACTCAATGTAAACCGCTCCAAACTTGATTGCAGAAAGTATGACTTCAGCAACAGAGTGGTCAATGCCTGGAATGCACTACCTCACTCTGTTGTTACATCCTCTAACCCCTACTCCTTTAACCTCAAACTATCCACTATTGACCTCACCCCATTCCTAAGAGGTCTGTAAGGGGTGTGCATAAGTGCACAATCATGCCTACTGTCCCTGTCCTATTGTCCCCATTTATTCGTACCTATTACCTGTATTCTTACTCATGTTTATACTTATACCTATTATCTTATAAGTGATTGACAAATCAAATAAATAAATAAAATAAAATATAGTGACAGCATACAATGTTTTCTCTATATCTTTCTAGTTTTGTGTCTGAAGTCAGACACACTGGCCATTTGGGTCAGGGGAGAGGAATCTTTTAAGGGCAAAGCAATGTGTTGGGGGCTATACAGCTAGAGGAATGTTCAGTTTGGGATGATAACAGAGTGCGGGGCTAAGAACTTCACCCTGATGATCCTCATGCATTTTCTCTCTTGTGTAATTTATTTCCCTTGCTGTGCGCAACAGGCAAGGGTCACCCTCCAGGCAGTGTTGACTGGAGAATTTTTAATTCTGCTCTTCATCACATTCTCTTTCTTCCAGCTGATAACTGCTTAGCTGGATCATGGGCAAAAACAGGTGGTGCTACTTCCTGGGGCTTTATAGTCCATTTCAAGAGCCACTTTGACCTCGGTACAGCTTGCCAACTTCAAGTTTCCAAATTACAATTTAACTTATGATGACCAGATCTTTAATGATCTTTACAACAAGAACCAGGAATAGGAAGACATTCCCCTTCCTCCAGATGGTTTAGACGGGACAGGAATGCTGAAAAAAATTGTATCTGTACATAGCAGTTGCTCACTGTGAGTTTTTAAAGAAGTGCTATAAAATGCCCAGTTTATGGATCAAAGCTGTGAGTGTCTTACATATCATTCAAGAAATGAAAAATAAAACCCTCACTGTTCATGATGTGCCCATGTTCTAAGGGCCTGAGATATATTTGTATAGTGCCACAGATTGGAAAGAGCTACTCTGCAAAAGCTTAGCAAGAAAACATAACCAGTTGGCTACTTTCTTCAACAAGAACAGCGTTGAAACCAAAGTTGGAAGAAAGCTGCAAACATTCTAGTTCAGTGGTGGAGATGTGCCAATAGTCATTCTATCTTCAATTCTTGGTCTCTATAGGCTGGGTTGAGAAAACATTGATGTCCCAAAGCCTTAAGGAACCACAGCCAGTCAATACCAAAAATCATGGGTCTGGTTTCAATATTCCTACAAAATACTGAAGAGAAAAAGTATAAACTGTTCTTCTCAGTGTTTTTATTTTAAAAAAAACTATGCAGCAGTTTATTTCTGGGCTGTGTACAAGCACTCAGTTGAGTGGTTTTTTTTTTTCCAATACCATTTTCCACAATGCTTGTGCAGACACTTCAAGGAACGCTCCCCAATTCAAGTTCACTAAAGGCCATGGAACAGTATCTAAAGAAAAATGCATTTGTAATTATATCTTTCTACCTACTTCTTGCCTATAAGTAGATGTTTTAGAAGATATGTACCCTTTGAAACAATTCAGAAAGCAGAGGGGGATGAAGGGCAAATCAAAATGAATGCAGAATTAAGAACTGAGAACCAATGGAAAAATTTGAAAAATATTGATTAAAAAATGTAAATGCTTCCATTCCTTTAATTGACTATCTAAAGAATGAACAAAGTACAATACGTTACTATTTTTAACTGATGACCACCAGATTTGGGCTGTAATGTTCAGAATGACCTCTAGAAGGCAGCAAAGAGATACATTGAGCTGTAACTCTTTTCTGCCATCATCTGGA